TGCCTTTTTGTATCCTGAGAGTGCCTGGACTTCTCTTCTATTTTTCCTCATCACATACACACATCTTGACACACAAACAAACACATACTCAGATACACACGGACACATACACATACTTGCACTTACAGATACACACACTCAGACACACACATTGACACATACACACTGACACATACATATACACATTGACACATGAAAACACACTGATACACACTGGCACACACACACACACACAGTGACACATACACACACACACACACACACACACAATCTGACATACATCAGAGCCACCCTCCTGTTAATTTACCTTGTGGTCCTGGTGATGTTTCCCACCAATTGGGAAATGCTGGTCTAGAGAGAGATCATGAGTTGGACAGGGTTCCGGGTAATGAATCCATCACTAGTCAGTATATTTATATCTTGGATGTTTGTTGCAACCTTGTGTTCAAATGTTGCAAAGCAAAGGACTGGGTGCAAACTAAAGAAGGTCCAAAGCAGATTTATTGAATAATCAAATCTGCTTTGAACTTTCTCCAATTTATGCCCACTCCTTTACTTTGTTGGTTTTGAGAGTGGTGTCTACTCTGGGCTGGAGGCACCTAGGCGTTCCTTTTGAGTGTGCTAGTTCATCTATTTAACACATCTTGTGTTCAAATGTTATCCATCTCAAGGATGTGCTCAACCCTCTGGCCTTTATAGTGCTTAAATGTTAAAAATAATGATCTAGTAGGCACTGACATGCAGAAAGAAGACAACTCTTACCACGGGACAATACAATCACAAACAAAAGGCTGGCATGTCAGCCTGTATGAGAAGTAATTTACAGGAATAATAGGGAGAAACCTGGGATATTATAAATACTCAAAAAGGACAGTATTTACCATTCTTATTGTGTGTATAAAGTCCAGGTTGATAAGCAACCTTTGTTTTCTACAGAAACTCACTCTAGACAGCAATTTCTTCTACCTCTATGTTACAAACGCTTTTCCTTATATTAATTCCTATTTAACATGCCAAAACTGGTAACATGAAATAAAGTTAATAACATACATAGGAAGAGTTGAATGAAAAAAACAAAACAAAATGAACCTAAATTTGCTAACACGTTCAGGGAACATTTCAATTACGCATAACTTGCTGAGACGCCTTATTTTGTACGGACAGCTTTTCAGAACATGATGCATTCAGGGCTGTTGACTGTTGTAAATTCAAAGTGAATTCTAAGTGTATTTTAAATTATGCAATGAAATAGCTAGATTGGATATTTTTTACAATTCGGCTTTCGTTTCAGTTGAACTATTTTGACCTACAATTTTGAATTCACTTATAATTCCTGAATTTCAAATTTTAGCCCAAAGTACCTGAATTTTCGTCTATATTAGCCATCAATTTGAAATTCGATTTGAATTCTCACTTTATTGAGTAACTCTGTCAGTCTTTATGCAATACTGATGCTGATTACGTGGGAAAATAATTAAAACCCAGGATACCATAAGACAAAGTAGTGTACATTTTTGCCCAATCCCAGTACCCGTGGCATGACAGTTGTGGAATTCAGACATGATCTTATTCATCATGAGATGTTATCTATGGAGGCTCTATTGGTCCCATGGGTTTCTCCATAGACCTTGGCATTGTACTGTCAACCATGCGCGTGAATACAGCACTTATGTGACTCCTGGGAAATGAAGCGCAAGTCGCTGAAGAATACCTTCAGGAATAAGATGGCGGCTGCAGGGGACAACTTCAGGTAAGTAAACCTACCTTCCACTGCACCAAGGAGCCACTGGACCCGGTCAGTAG